CATATATTGTTGCTTTTAAATAATTTAATTGATTACATGGCTACAAAGTTTTATAATAAATTAAAATTACTAATTAAAAATAGAATAAAATATATTAAATTCTATTTAAATGAATATTTTAATATAAATAATAATATTTAAACTCGCCCTACCCTTAACATTCTATTTTGTGTGCCTAGGGTTATTAAAATCATTCATTGTTGTGAATAGCTTGTGTTTGGTTTGATAAATGAATAAGTCAAACACGAACAAATTTTTGAGTTCAATATATAAACAAGCCAAACACATACAATGATATTTTTTAACAAGTCGAACATGAGCCAAGCCTGGGCTCGCTCAAGCTCAGCTCGTTTACACCCCTAGCGGTTGCGTGACTAATATTGTCAAAATGACTTTTTATTCGTGAACAACTCGTATTCGTCTTGCTAAGGGACCCTAAAAGTATCATAGAAAGGCTTTTACTTCTCTGTGCCAATTTGGTTATAGAACTGACTATTGATCACAAACTATACAAACTTTCTAAATCTCATATCATGATGTGAACATCACAAAGGTTGACCAAAGAATTTTGAAGCCAATGAAATCCTTGTCTTGCTTGTAAATATATAGGACTTGGAGGGTAAGTATGTAAATACATATAAATTTAATTTTAATTATTATGTGCCAATGAATATCTATTCTGAAAGAAATTCAAGAGATGAATGCACTTATTTGCCTATGCCTTTTTATAAAATATTTAAATAATAAAAGCTTTCCACATGAGAAATTTTAATATCATATGCATGGTATGTAAAATATGAATACAATATTATGTTTATTGTCATATAAATTATTGAAAATCAAGAAAATAAGTCATAATATCTCAAGAAAATAATAAAAAAAAGAAGATAAAAAGAGAAGATGGGATGAGATTGTCAATTCATGAGCAAAAGTTGGACGGTTGTGATGCTTTGAAGTCGATAAAGGTAGCATCACATGATATGTGAGATGAAGGAAAAAATATTGCATCCAGACAGACGCGGTGCATGGAGGAAGCGTAGGAAATAAAAACCGACCTCCTCGTGCATCACGTCCGTTGTTCGGACGCAACTTGCGTCTAGACTCCAGACGCAATATTTTTTCGAGATGAAGAGTTCTAATAAATCAATGTTAAGTATGATTAGACAAACGTAGGTGAAGAGTAAAAGGGACAGAAAGAATATGGGAGAAAAGTTGATTTAAAGTAGTAGGATTATACAGTATTTATAGATACATTCTAATAAGAAAAAGGAAGATGTATTATCGCCTGAAATAAATGACAACTAAAGATGATAAGACAAAAATGAAAAAAAATATAAAATACAATAAATCACTTTTATGATATTTCTTTTATAGGCCCCTTGAAGATGGGGTCAAGAGAGAGGACACTAATCTTAATGCAAAATTTACTAAAGTGACGACGAGAGAGCCGTTTGGTGAGTGCATCAACAAGTCGATCATCAGAAGACACATGAGATGCATGAACGTTTCTGTTTTGAATTCTATTAATTTTAAAATTAATAATTAAAAGGTGTTTAGGGTAATATAGATTTATTAATTTGTTCTTGCAAATCTCATTTTTTGTTATTAAAAGGTGTTTAGGGTAATATAGATGTATTTTTCTTGATACAATATGATTGTGCTCCAGTTTTTTCCTCCACATTTTGGCATGTCACATACATTGAACATAATTTATTACTTATATTAATTATTTTATTCTTGTAAACCTCATTTATTTATTATTACAAGGTATTTAAGATAGTTTAGATTCATTTTTGCTCAGTACAGTATGGTTGTACTCGAGCTTTTTTAGAGTATAACAAAGTAATACTCCACATTTTTGTATATCATACATATTATGAACATATTCTATAACGTATTACCTTTTTATTCTCTTATGAGGTATACCAAGCATTAAAATCTCATATTATGGCCAAGTTCTCTTAACCCCGAAAATATGATATAAGGCACTTCTCTCTGCGAACGAGTCATTCACTTACTTCCTTTGCAACTCTTTCTGAATAAATGCTAAATAAATGTTAAACTAAGGATGCGAAAAAATGTTGAAGTCTCCAAAATCTTGCAAAATTCTACTTCTTTGTCCAAAATATGTCTTCTTATAAAAGATTTGGGCTAATATGTCAATGGAATTGCACAAACTAAAGTAAGTCGATGTTGAGCATCAGGGCGTTGCGACGTGGCACTGATGTGTTGCTATATGACATGAAAGCATTAGATCCGAGCACCTTTTGTTGTGATATGTAATTTTTAAATTAGAGTTTGGGCATAGCAGCAATGTAAAGAAGGAAAAAAAATTTGATAAATAACCTTGGATGGACAATATGCCAAATAATAAGCATTCACATGCATACTATCAATCAGAAGTAAATGAAATCAGACAGAATTACGATTTTCATTCTTTACATAGCTGCATTAAATTCCTTATTTTAATTGCATAGATTTTTTTTTAGCTCAATATTTAGATTAGAAATATGTATTATTAAGCAACCTAAAATAGATTGTACACTTTATTATGTATCTAAAATAAATTGTACAGACTATTATTTATTGAAATGAAAGCAAAGGAAAAAAAAACATTCAACCTCTTTACTCAAAACATTGACACATACCACTAAATTCCTATGTGTTTACATGTCCAACATCAAAACATCCAAATAACAAGCATTCGCATGGATGCTTGCCTTCAAAGAACTCACCCAAATCTTTCATTTCACGGTCACTCAAATTCTTTTTCAAAATAATTGAAATAAAATCGTTGCTTACCTCTGGTGACAGAGACGACAAAAACCAGATAAGGAGATGTTCGACAAAACCTTACTCGAAGTCGAAGGGAGAAGGAGAAGAGAAAGCGAGAGGTCGCAGAGGAAGCTCCAGATCGCAGTTTAGGCTGCGGGTTAGGACAGACGAGTTCGGCTTCGAAGCTCTGAATCTCAAAACAAATGAGTACAACAATGTAAAAAATTATATGAGAAAAGCGGGCCACGTGGTTGAAACTAGGGACCGCCACCCTAAACGGGGCCTAATTCTTCTCTCTATAAATAACATTTTTCAATATGAAGCATATATTAACTAGTGAAACCATTAATTATAAAGCATTGAATTATATGTCAACTGCAGCAACCAACGATTTCTTCGGCAGCCTCTCTTCCAGAATTTCCCTTTCTAGAGTTTTGCCCGATTTGAATTCTGATTAGAAGGAATCAGGGAACCTGTCTCCATCTCTCACCCACCGTCTCTTCTTTCTGTGTCTCTCGTCTCCTCAAATTTCTTCTTTGGCTTCGTTTGAGGATGAAGGGGTCGAACTTGAAGCCAAACGAGTTGGAGAACGGGAACTCTCAGGTTGCAGGCTGGGAGATGAGGCCCGGAGGGATGCTGGTGCAGAGGAGAGAGGATGGGATTCAGTCTACGGTGCCCTTGATCAGGATTAAGATCTCTCATGACACTAATCAGCATGAAGTTACTGTCCCCGCCCAATCCACTTTTGGTAATTTCTCGTTCTTCAAGTCCTCCAAACGAGCCGTTGCAATTCAATTGAGGTTGTTAAGAAATTTGGACTTTTCGTTGAATTTGAGAAATTAGGTTCTCCTCTTTGTTGGCCTATTTTTTTATTCTTCTTTTTGCGTTTGATCCTTTCTTTTTAGTTTGTCTTTAAGTTGAAAATAGCTTTGTGGGCATAGTTTGTTTATTTATTTTTATTTTTTGTAGATCCATGCTTGATTTTGTGTGATGGAATGTGTTTTTTTGCCTGGTGAGTGGGTTAAGAGCTAATTACTGTGAATCTATAGGGGAACTGAAGAACGTTGTTGCGAAAGTGACTGGTCTCGCACCAGAAGAGCAGAGGCTACTTTTTCGAGGGAAGGAGAAGGATGATCTTGATTACTTGCACATGGCTGGAGTTAAGGACATGGCCAAGGTGGTTTTATTGGAGGATCCTGCATGCAGGGAGAGGAATAGAGAGCAGATCCAAAGGAATCAAGGAATTGCTAAGGCATTGGAAACTGTTTCTAGTGTAAGGCATGAAGTGGACAAACTTCTTGAGAAGGTGAACATTTTTTGTTTGTTTGTTAAAAGAAGTACATTTTGTGACTTGTAATTTAATTAAAGTGAATATCTTTGTGCAGGCAAATGCCTTGAAATTGTCTGTGTTCAGGGGTACGAAGGTTTCAGACCAAGAGTTTGTGGTTTTGACCGAGTTACTTATGAGGGAGCTGCTTAAGTTGGACAGTGTTGAGGCAGAGGGTGAAGCGAGAGTGCAAAGGAAAACTGTGGTATGCTTATTATTATTATTATTGTAGGACTAAATCAATGCCATTTTGTCCCTTAAAATTGTGAAAAGTGGTATCATCAAATGATAGCATATGTATTAACTGAATATTTTCATATGTTGCTACGATTAGATAACAACACTATTTTTCCAAAGTGAATCTACATTTTTGGTTGAGAAAATAGATTGCTTAAATATCACATTATCAGACTATTGTAGAAAATACTGTTATTTATATGATAATGCATTTATTCATGGTTGGCATATATTATGGGTTAGATGGTGACTTTGGCTTTTCATAAGGACAACAATACGAAATTTAGCAATTAAAGAGAGCAGGTGACTTGTTAATTATGAACAAACAATAAAATGTTCCTATTTGAAACAGCTGAATGTATGTTCTGGCACATATGTTATGTGATTAATGTAATCAAGTAATCATGAATACAATGAGCATCCTCAACCGCATCAGCTATGGTTCTTATTCAATAATCAATCACTAAATAACTCGCAACAAATATTTGGAAGCTTTATCATGGTGAGGTGTAAGATCTACAATGTCATGAGCGAGAGAGTGTGTGTGTGTGTAACAATTTAAAACATGATATAATATATTTACAAGAAGGTTGGTGATGTGCACCTTGGTACGATTGAAAGCACCATGCTTACATAACCATTCTATATTGCATGCATCTAGACACATTAGAAGCATCTCACAAGTAACAACTAAATATGTTGAAAATGAGGCTCAATCTTAAGTATCACTGTTAAGTGTTACAACACACATGATGTTGATGAGAAACTGGTATATTATGACCAACAAGTAGGCAACGACATGTACATTATGAGATCATAAGCATAGTTTCCATTGTAGTATGAATGGCAATACAAAATTAGTTTTGTTACGTGTTAATGCTTTGGTCTAATAATCTACAAGTGCACAAGTAAGTCAAGAAACTATGGTGCTGATACAAAGTTATGTGTAACTAATTTAATCAACTAAGCATGAATACAATGAATATACTCAATCACATTTACTATAGTTCTTATTCAATAATTGTTTACCAAATTACTCACAACAAATGTCTAGAAGATATATAATGGTGAGATATAAGATCTTCATTGTGATGAGAGAGTGAGGAACTATTTATTGTTGGAAATTGAATTGGCATTGAATTTTGAAAATTTCAAACAGGGGAGGTGGTAATTAATAGTGAAAAATTGCCTTAACTGGCCTTTAATTTATTTGAATGCTTTTGATGTTACAAAAGTGACCAAAATCTGCAATTTAAATATACTCTCCTTGATTTCATAAAAAAACAACAACAACAAAAACAACACGCCTTTATCCCACTAAGTAGGGTCAAATACTTGAATCCTTTTTCTCTATTGCGTTCTATTGAGTATCATATTTTCATTTAATTCTAATGGATTAAGATCATTTTTTATACAGTATGTCCAAGTCTACTCTCCTTGATTTCATGCAGTCAAAATTGTTGTGGTATTTTTTGTAGCACTTGACATTCAAAAAATAAATAATTTTTTTCTTGAGACTTGAGTATTTGTATATGCTTACGGTATAAACTGAGCGGGAGTACATTAAAAAGCTCAAATATGGATTTTCTGCTTATAAAATTTTTTGCATCTGGATTAATGTGTGATCAAAAGAGTAATCATAATGAGTTACAAAAAATTTTTTAGTGAGGGATCTAGCACACCTAATCATCGCTAAGAGAACAAAGCCAGACCTCAACCAAGGGCTTTGTGAAAACGTTAGTAAATTGATTATTTGTGCTGTCAAATTTTAGAATGAGTTATGTTGTCTCGGATGAAATGATGACGAATCTCTATAAATTTTGTGCGTATGTGTTGGATATGATTTTTTGTTAAGTTAATTACATTAGTGTTGTCACTTTTTATTGGGATATGATTTAGATTGAATCAACTCAACCTCTACGGTCTATAAGGCGGTAGAATTCTACTTCTCACTGAACCAAAAATTAAGTTGAAGTCCTGAAAATAGGTATCCTAGCTGCTCTTCCGTTCACTTGACAATCTGGGTAACTTGCATTAAAATTTCGAAAAGCTCAAATGATAGTTCATTTATGGTACTATAATCCAAGATTTAGTGTTTTAATAAAATATTTAAAGATTCTTTTATGACTGCCATATGTGATTCCTTGGGATTCATCTAAAATCTAACACATGGCTCTTTCACAAGCATAATATTTGGCCTATTGACTGTCAGGTATAGCCGCATAGGCCAAATATTTGGCTTACAGTCTTTCATGTATAATATCACTAAATTTTTCTATACAACCTAGAGTCAATTGATTTACCACTAACAACTTTGTCTTGCTTGGCTGCAAGGCTTATGGAGGTATCAATTAATTTATAAAGATATTATCATAATTTGTTTTGCTTGTAATCCTAGAAATAAGTTTAATTCTTCCATTAGACTCATCTCAAATTTCTTACTCATGGTGTTGGCAAAGTCTTGACATAATGAAAACTTTTGTGGCACAAAATAAAATGGCATCAACAAAAATCTGAATCGTTGTTATATATCTTTTACTTTCTTGATGAGCATTGTATTGTTTACTCTATCTTTGTTGAATCCTACACTAATCAGGAAAGGTCGGTCTTTTATACCTTACTCTGGAAGTTTATTTTGATCCTTAAAAGTCCTTCTTCAACTTATACCTATGATTAGGATAATGATGTTCATAAAATTTAAGTAGTTGCTCCACAAATACTTTTATTGTTCCATCCAAAAAAATGTGCCATTATCTTCTATTTAATATCGAGTGAAATCTTTATAGCATGTAAATGCTAATACTAGTCTAATGGCTTATAATTTAGCTTCTGGGGCATAAGATTCTTCAGATTATATACCTTCTATTTGATTATAGTTATGCCACTAACTTAGCCTTATTTCTTACTAAAGCCTACATAATCTACATTTTTTTGGAGTCTCACTTAGGTTCATTCATATGCTAATCACTAGATTGGGCGCCATGAATTGACCTAGTTGCACTGCTATAATCCAAAACTTATACTCTAATGCTTCATTTATACTGGAATGCTCAAAATGAGATAAAAATGCAGAGTGGCCTAACTTCTCTCTAACTGTACTTTTAGTACTAGCAACCTGAGATGGATCCCCTATTCCCTAGAATGCTAGAGACATACCTTCATTTCTTAAATAAACCTGATACATATGGATTATCACTAGTTGCTTCTAGTTGGCCTAGATTTAGATTATCCAATCTATCAATTTCAGTATCATTTAAATCTCTTATTATTAGGTAGATTTTATGTATGATCATTGAGTGTCATGTGTATAGACTCCTCTACAATCACAGATCTCTTGTTAAATACTTTAAATGCTCTGCTTTGAATATTTCCAAAGAAAAAAATGCCTTCATAAACTTCGTTAATTTTTTTCATTTTTTAATATAAAAATTTACGTCAGTGAATATGAAAATGAGACACATTGAGTTTTCTTTCTTTTCAAATCTCATATCGTGTTTTCTTAACAGTGGTTTTAACATTCACTCTATTGATTACATAATATTTTGTATTTGCGACTTCAACTAAAAAAATACACTTACGTAGTTGATACTCATTAAACATTATCCTACTCATATCTATTAATGTCTTATTTTGTTTTTATCACAACATTTTTTGTGATGTTCAGATGCTGAAAGATTTTGTGTAATCCCTCAATAATCACAAAATATCCAAAATTTTGCATTATCAATTTTTTTCCATGATCACTCCTAAACAACCTATTGACAACTTTTTTTTATTTTGAATTAATTTTGTAGAATATGTGAATTCTATTATAGAGTCACGTACTTTGGCTAGAAATATTACCCAATTGAAGCTTCACAAATCAACTATCACGTGTCCACACCTTTTTTTCACCTAGATTAGTTGGCACTCTACTGGGCCAAATAAATCCTTACGTTGTAATCTTTGGGTAGGGTAATGATATAATTTTTAGGTCTAGATGATGTATCATTTTTTATAACTAAAAATCAATGTAAAGATGGACTTTGGTGTAGTGTTGCCGAGGAAATCCTATTACTAGCTCATGCTTAGGTAGTTCAGATAAAATGTGCATACTGACATGACATAATTGTCTATGTCACAACCAATACCAATTAATTATTGGCCTTTATACATTTAAGACCACTTTCAAATAAATTATTAAATTCAAGGAGATATATATTCTTGTATCTATAAAACACTTCACTATTAAAGTTTATTACTCATTGTGTGATAAAAAATTAAACATCATACGCTCTATCTCATAAGATCTTCTTGATGGGGGGAGCCATATACTGTGGTCTCAACTCTAATTATGTATATATGTTAAAAATGCAAAATTCATTGATAAAAAAGAGAGGATACAAAGGTTTTAGTGAGTGGGTACAAAGACTCCATTTACAGGGATTACAAATGTATTTCCCAAAAAATGAAACAAAAAGAAACAACTCATAATCATGGTGGGTGTAGGCGGTTGATCTACCGCTTTCCCTTCCCCTGGATTTAGAAAGGGTTCAGCAATATACTGAGATGTGGGCTTCCTCCCGAAACAATGATACAGTCATTATCATCCTGAGAGTTACTGAGATCTGACATTCCTTTCTTCTTCTTCCTAGATTTGTAAACCTATCGTAAACCTATCAATTATCTGCCAGAGGTAGTCCCGTGTGAACAATAGGCGGATCTTCGATGGAGGTAAACTATTGATCTGACTCAGCCTGTAGCACGCCTTGATCCTGACACATCTCCATAAATTGAGTACCCTCTTCTCTCACAATAGGTGGTTCCAAGACATTTTGGCTAGCATCTGCTACAACAAAATTCGTAGAATTTATGATCTGAGAAAGAGCTGCCTTAACAACAGTAGGCGGAAGTTGTTGGTCTGGTTTGTAAGGAGTAATCTTATGAGTCAAATTTTCATTCAACAGTTCTGAAGATTAACAGTATCTGTTATATTTTCCTCCACATGGAAGATGTTGTTGGGACCTGCCGATTTCAAATGTGGGTGAAGCCTGAAGCATTTGAAAGGGGTGTGCCTAAACAGTTTACAGTGATTGCAGTAGTAGAGTCTTTATTCTGGTATAATTGACTGTCAATACCCATTGTGGGCAGTATCAAACCATATTTCGTCCATATCTGGAAGGGTGATATCCCTTTCAATAAGAATTCTTGCAACCGAAGGCCTGGTTAAATTGAAGGTGAGTGTATCCAATTTCATAGGTCTCCGTAGTGTAGCTCCAATAGAGTAGAGGGCTTGGCGGTTGAAGTAGTGCAACTTTAGGCCAAGTAGTTTAAACCAGATTGGAACTATAGGAGGTTCTTGACTAGGGTCAAATTCAGGAGACCACTTAAGCAGTTTCATATATTTTTCCTCTATTGTCATAAACTTTTTGGAAAATATTTTGGCATGATCTTCCACTTTAGATAATTGTATTATCACATGTCTCTCATCAAAGTGGCTAACCTTCCAAAGTCCCAATAGCTTGAGATCTTCAAAAGCCTTTGGAACGATTTTCATTTTGGGATGTCTCGATTGGAGCTTCCCAATGAGGGTGAATTTGAACTTGTCAACCAGGTTGGAAACTTCAACATCAGAGAAGAATAGAGCCAGTTTGTCACTCTTCCTACCCGTCTTCTTGATAAGGTTGCAGTCCTCCCGACCTTCGAATGATTCATGGTAAACCTGATCTGATCTCATAGAGTCAACCATATCAATAAAAGAAGTCTTCCCAATGTTTCAAACTGTAGTAGTCGGTGGTTGAGAAGGAGCAGTAGCCATGGAAGGGAGTAGTTGGACAACAACAAGCTCCTGGGTTTGAATCGTGACTTCAACCGAAGCTCTTTGTTGCTCGATACGCCGAGCAGGGATCAAGCGGCACGTTACAGGAAGGATCGCGACACTGTGCAAGCTGCAGTTCTACCGCTACCTTCCCAGTGAGCTCGTGAGACGATCCAGAAACTGACGTGATCGAACGAACGATACCAAAGAGCGAAGCGAAGAGAACGAGCGAGAGGCTGGGGCACGGCGACGCGATCTTCCACCCTTCTTCTTCGAGCAGGTGTTCTGCGGCTACCCGCATCGCTCTGGAGTCACGGTGGGAGGAGTAAACCCTAGCAGAGTGAGAAGATGCATCGTGTTATATATATATATATATATATATATATACACACACAAATAACGGTGAACCCTAGCGCCTGCTTCGATATCTCTCTCGTCTCTGCTTAACCTTCCTCGTTGGCTTCTCTTCTCGTGTCGTCTCTGCACCGCGTCTCCTTCGTTGTTGTCGCTCTTCTTGAGCTGTTTTCGTAGGGTCCGCTTCTGCGCTCCGCTCGACGTGATTTTGCAGGGGTGTCGTCCGCTTCTGCGATTTAGGCGGGCTGATTCCTATTCGCTGCAGCTTACAGGGTGTGCTGAATTTGCGGGGGTTTCCGCTCCTGCTCCTTGTTTTTTGGATTTGGACTTTATGAATTCTGACTGTTCTTCATTGCTTTCTTCACTGTTCTTAACGCCACACCTCCATCTATTAGGGATGGCTTCAGATAGATCGTATGCTGCAGCTCTTGCGGGCGTCATCTGCGCTCGCGGATGTCCACGCCTCAGGTACACCTAAATCGTATTTTTCCCCTCCTTCATTTGAGTGGGAGGAGGATATCAAGAAACCTGGAAGGAAGAATGAGAAACCTGTCATCTTTTTTACAGAAGCTGAAGGCATTCAATTTGCTTTCTCCGGTCGACTGAATTTAGTTAGGAAGTTTTTGTCTAGTCATCCCAAAATGAAGCTGATTCGTAAGGAATTTGAACTTATGCATCTGGTTGGGGAGTGAAAAATTGGACTATTAAATGGAAGACACATTCTCATACAAATTAATAATGAAGAAGATTACACACGTTTATTTGTTAGAAGGATAATCAAGTTTATTTGTTAGAAGGATAATCTGGATTGATAACAGAGCAATGAAGATTATGAAATTGTCTGTGGATTTTGACCCTCAGACGGAACTTCCGATCATTCCGGTTTGGATTCGCCTCTCTGGTCTAAAATTTCATTATTTTACTCAAAAAATTTTGTACACTATTGCCTCAGCTTATGATAAGTCACTCAAAACGAACATTCCTACTTTTAATTTTTTCCGTCCATCAGAAGCCAGAGTACTTGTTGAAAGAGACATCACTTCATCTGTTTCTGAGGAAATTTGGTTGGACACACAACATCATGGGTATTGGCAAAAGGTAATGATTGAGCATTTTTCTTCGTATTGTTCAAACTGTCGTATATTCGACCACTCCAGTTCTCAATGCCACCATTTACATCCACACCTCAGACCAAAAAAGTACAGTGCTCTGCCAGAGACAATGATTTCATCTCCTTCTGATCAATTCCAAGTTTTAGACAATATTGATCATTAAAAGAATGCCCCCAAAGACGTTACTATTATCACAGGCAATATTACAACCATTTAGCCGTCTCTAGAACCTCCTATCGTGGGTGAGAGGGAGATTATTCAGACCCCACTTGCCCTAAAACCTATTATCGTTATTACAGGCTGCAATACTTCTACTGTTTCACTACTGCCTCATCAGGTCGAGAAAGCTGTAACTGTCACTCAGTTTTATGGGGATCATGTTGTGCATGGGGATCATTAAAGATCATGATGTGCAACAAGCTACCCCTGTCCAACCAACTTTGGAACAATCTATTGATCAAATGAGTCAATCATAGGATGAGGAATGACATGTCTACACATCGAGGAGGAAGAAGAAGAATCGAGACTTACTTGAGTTCAGGAATCTGATGGATGATATTTTGGTTACTTCGGGCAATGACACTCACCTTACTAATTTGTTAGCAGACTCAATTTCGAGAACTAGAGGCAAAGGAAGGACTAAAGTAGGATGTCCCTAGTACTTTTGCGCCCTTTGGTGGTTTTTTGGTTTTTTATCTTTATGTATTTTTGCTTTATTTGGGTTTTGTGTGTGTTGTATTCTGTGAGTTGAGTTTTCTTATAAGCTCTCTCATACAACCTTTCTGTATCTTTTCCGTTTTAATAAATTAGCACTTGGGTTTTTTTATATATATATATATATATATATATATATTGGATGATACATTGATTACTACTGGCAACGGCGATCATCTTTCCAACTCATTAGTTTGCTCCTTTCCGAGAACCAGAGGCAGAGGCAAAACCAAATTGGGTTGCTCTCTAGCCACCTGATACTATGTATTTCAACATTTTTAGGATTTTTCTTTATGTCTCTAATGTATTTTTCAGTATTTTCATATATATATATATTATGTTTTATACTAATGATATGCTCATCCATCATATTTCTCGAACATATGTGATTCAAGTTCCATTTGTTATTCTTGGTTCTTGGGTGAAGGCATGCTAACATAATAAATCAACCTGTTTGCTTTGGATCCACTAGTGGAGTCAAAAGGGATGATCATACTGAATAGGTGTTTTTACAACTTATTCATATGTTAGGGATCCATGCATATGAGATAACGTATGTATTATTCTACCTCTATAATTTTTAAGGATATATCCTAAGCCAACACTTGGGCATGTAACACATTTCTGTGCTAAGGTCTAAAATGTGAAGCTCTAGTGTCAGATGTACCATTAACTGTTTGAGCACTATATTTCTTCTTAGTTAAGCTTAATAAACATATAGCTTTAGCTTTCTTTATACAAATTTTCTTAAGCAATATATCACACGAAAAGCTTTATCTAATACATATGGTTTTTTTTTGACACATTGCAATTCTATTTTCAAGCTTAGCATAATGCAAATTTAAATTGGAAATTGGAATACTCTTTTTTCAAAATTTGATATTTCGTTTTTAAACTAATTAAATTTACATTCATCTCAATTAAAGCATCATGAAGCTAATCATAAGCCAAATCTTAATTTACCTCTTCGGATCGATCATCAGTTGTTGTTAAGCTTAGATTTGCCTTTTTTTAATTGAATGATTATATGATAGTTCCTTCACTGTGATAATTAGCCAATGTGGTCTTCAACACCTTTTTCACCTCTTATTTGAGTGGTTTTCTTTTCATCAATTTTTATTTAGTTGACTCACAAATTTGAGATGCGCAGACTTATTGCACATGAAATAAGTCAGGACCCCCTTCTTTTCTCCTGCAAAACCATTCCTTTGTTTATTCTAAATTCATGATCTTTTTTTTCACCTTTTGTCATTGTGGAGATTTGTCCTTAGCACCATATTATATCGGTGTATTTTTTGAGCTATTTCATTTTTGTCGCTTTCTAAATGTGAAGAATAATTGTCACTCAAGTCATGCCAAGAGTGATATATTTTTTACTTTGGAATCCCACTCTTTTCGAAAGAACGTGGTTGTTATTACTTGTTTCTTGTTTGAGTGCTCCTTAACAAGTGCATGAAGATTGTTGTCAATTTTGGTGAATCTTCCAAGTGTCTCCATAATAATTTTCTCGGCTTAATTTTAGATAATCTATGCTTCTATATTAAGATGTCAATCTTTGTTTATTTTCTTACCTCGTTCGTTATTTTGTTGTGATGACTAGCTTATCCCAAATCTTCTTCCCTATTCTCAAATTACAGGTTTTTATATAATTGTCATATTTAAATAACAATATAAAATATTTACTCTTTTGCAGTTTTTAAAATTGCACAATTGGATGGCGCGCCTCTGCGTAATCACAGAAAAGTCTACATCGAGGTGTACGCCTCACACGATCTGCTAGTTGCGTACGCCTCATTATTGATGAGGCATGCAATAAAGCGTTTTTCACGTCAAAGCTGAGACGTCCACCTTGTATTTTATGTACTAGGTTTTCTAGTTATCTTCAATTTTGTTTGAACCCAAGCCTTTGGTCTCCCACATGCCTCCTGTCTTCCTCTCAGTCTCAGAACGCTACCTGCTACACCGGTTGACGTCGTCGACACCGCCGCCGCTACCTAATCCTGTCGTCATTGGTGCCGCTGCATCCATTTGATGCTTTGGCTAAAATTTGCCGCTGCACCTGTTGCCACCACACCAGCGCATCCCTCTCCTCCTTTTGCTGCTCTGGGCACTGCCGCCTGCTGCACTGGTCAAGGCTACCATTCATATGTTGCATTAGTTTTGTGGCTTTGCGTTGGGGTTCGTTCAGTGATGTACTGCTATTTATGGACTTACTGCAGTGGTTGCTTATATTTCATAAACACATACAAAAATATTTTTTACATGCAAGAAACTCTTATAGAACAAAGAATTATATTCAAAACCTCGATCTGCATTGATTTATATTTTAAAATTTTATTTAATTACATGTAATTGATATGAAAATTTAATTTCTCTTCTCTGCTCTCTTTTATATGTCGGATGGAGATTTTTTTGTTTACAAACGCATCATATTTTTTTTTTCCATTGTAAATTTTGTTGATAATAACGTATTCAGCTGGCCAAGCTTTCACATGGATAAGATATCAAAGCATTATTGGAAGTGGTCAATTTTCAAATTGTGATGCTAGTATATATATTTTTTGCCTTTTTTTTTTTAACTACGCAATTTTCAAATTGTGAGGTTTATGCCTTAGACCGTCTTAATACTTACACCTCTCCCCTTACGATAGGAAAACGCCCTTAATACTCAATCTCACAATTTTAAATATTACCCTTCTGCTATCCAACAATCTCATATTTAGTTCTATGGAAGTCGATTCTTCATTGAGATTTGAAATTTCTTCTCCATGTAGCGATGGTAGTGGGACATCAATAGTCATTTGATTGCAATCACATCGCCATTCTAATTTTCTAAAAAATCAAATGCTTTACCATCAAAAAGAGGTGGTCATATTGTGGGGTGACCATCATTTATTTTATCAATTTTGCATTCATAAGACATTATGTATCACTCTTGGATGTGAAGCCCATTTATTTTCCTAGTTTTTTTAGCCCACATAATTCAGAAAAAAGTAATCTCAAAATCTAGTTTTTAATTAGCTCCAAATAGCTAGATTGTGTTTCTTAACAAATCACTTAAAACGGTTTTTGTAGAGACCTGTTCATTTCTTTGTGGATACTCGTAAAGCATAGCAGATACCTATTTGAATTAATTTCTTGGATCCTAAACTTTTTTGCATCTTTGGGGAGCGGTTTAATACTATATGGTGACATGGTACTTTGCTAATATCTACAATACTTTACATATACTTATAATTACAATTGAATTTCATAATTTAATTTTTTTTAAATATCAAAGTTTTAATCTAAAAAACTCAAATTACTTTGAAAATTTATGTCCTAAAATTCAGATTGGTGTTTGATTGAATATATTTCATTAAGCTCTTTTAATTGGTTGGCATAAATTTTATTCGATTAGATGGTGTAGGAGTTTGAATGAGGGACATGAGTCTAAACTTTTTTTATCAAAAAATTTGTACTAAACCACAAATATTAATTTTAAAAAACACAATTGCTGCCTTATTTTTGATATTTTCATCAAAAGTGCACATAATTTCTCTTTTAGCTCAAATAGATCATTGTATATTATAGTCCGTCCCTTTTGCAAAATTTGTGCGATAGGATGTCGGCGCTTAAAAGGGGGAAAGGAGTTTAAGGG